GGAAACAAGGAATAACCCGACCTGAGTGATTTATTGCTCCATCTGCTAAAGAAATTCAGGCATTACTGAGTCAGTCTGCTGTCTGATACCTAATAACATCAAAGTGAGACCTACTCCATTCTAGCCAGTCTTTGAAAAATCCTCTCTGCAAAGAGAAGTATTTAATATGTCAGCGTTCCGTTCTTAACGCGTGATAAATCATTAGTAGGCGTTAATGCAGAGAAAAGATGAGTTTTTTTGCTTTCGAAAAAGCTTGGGGAAACAAGGAATAACCCGACCTGAGTGATTTATTGCTCCATCTGCTAGAGAAATTCAGGCAGTACTGAGTCAGTCTGCTGTCTGATACCTAATATCAGAGTGAGAATGATCACGCAAGAAAGAAGAAGAGAGTACATAAATTGTATATGGAATAAAATTTGAGGTTTGGTCAATTTGATTGTTTTTTTCAGTTATTAACCATGAACTGATTTGTGCTCAGAGCTAGCTCATCTGGGTTGCATTTGTATTCGATATGAGTCAACCTGATTTAATTTGGGGATTACAATTTTCTGCCATTGTAATTGCTTTCCAGTTCTCAAGTTATGAAAAATTATTTTTTAATCTAGAACTAAAAATCTCATGAATATAATGCGCTTTTATATATTTAATTTGTAATGTATGTTGTCAGTGTAACTAATTTTTTTTTTAATTATATTTTTTTTACTAGAATCTCGATTTATATTTAAGCTCTCTGTCATCTGTTATATTTGCAGTGTCAGCAAGAAAAAAGATTTAAATGCTTCGAAAAATTTACGGTGTTTATTACTTAGGGCTTAGATTATGAGTAAGTTAATTTTGTGAAGATATTTTGAAGCGTTTAAACTGCTGATGAAAAGTAACAAGGATACATAAATTAAGAGAGTAATATGTACTTTTTGTATAAGCTTAATGGGATATTAATTTTGCCAAGTAGTTTTGATATTATGGATAGTTCAATTTAGTGCAATGATTGCAGCATGTTACACTATAAGTTTTTTTTCATGAAAACGGTTTCTTATTTTAGTAAATTTTATCACAAATATGTGGGTTGTTGATCAGTAGCTGCTACGAATATCTGCAAGAAACCGAAAAACTAGGCATGAAAGCTTAAAGGGCATGTCCTAAACTCTTATGGGAAATCGTAAATAAAAATCGTAATGGAAATCGTAATAATCGTAAGTGATATTGATATTTTGATCAGTCCTGTTTACATAATTGCTGCCAGCATTGTAATAGCTGTTGATCCAGCATTTATTTCTGCTAGGAGCTTTGCAACTTTTCAGTTCCTGATAGGCCAGTCGATTATTATCCTGAAGCAAGCGTGGTGAGTACAGAAATGATCAAGTTTATAACTAACTGAGTGCAGTCAATTTTTCTTAATAAGTTTTTACACAAATTTAATCATTCTTTCATTGGAGAATATTTTTACATTCAAATTTTTTTA